GTTAAGGTCATTTCCTGGTGGAGGTCAGGTCAACGTCAGGTCAAAAAAGGTCAAATTTGAAAGTTGATATTTTGCATAAAATGGGCATTGTTTCGATGCAACTTGTCACGGCGAGTCTAATGGCGGTCTTGGTTTTGCGCTACGTGGTCTAGAAGTGCTAAAAATTGAGTTTGAATATTTGACGTCAATTTTGATCATTTTTCTTCTGCTATAACTTGGCCAAAAATAGAGATATCGATCTAGAAATTGGTATGTGAATAGAACTCGGTAGGGGTTATCACATATATTCCGTTTTTTTCTCAAAAATCGAAAAACTTAATGAGTTTTTGGCTATTGTATTCAAAAAAGTATGTTTTGATTTTTAGGGATCAAAATTCGATTTTTTTTTTTAAATTTCGAGATAGCATTTTAGTAGCTTTGGTTTCTACATCCCTTATGTCTTAAACGTTTTTCTGTATCTTCAAAGCTATAGGCCTGACAGCTCTTCCCGCGAAACCTTTTTTGTCGAAAACGGCAGAACATGACGTCACTTTGACGTCATTTGCGGCCGACTTATCATAGCCTTTGGAAAATTGTTTGTTCACAATGTGGCAAATTAATGCCCGGGAGATTACTGAAAGTTTGGTGACGATCGGCGCAGCGGTTCTGGTGATATATCGAAAAGGCTGGGGGGGGGGGCAAAAAATAGCCCCCTTCCGCCAGGGGGCGGACTAAAGGTTACTTAACACATGAACGTACTGTTAGGCGAGCCCATGGAAGTGCTTGATATGGTAGCTTAACCCTCGCCCTTGAAAAGCGATACACGACAAAAGTACATCACATGCATGACACTTTGGTGTACTCCATACAAGAATGAGCGCCCACTGTTTGTGGGGCATTCCACGATAGATCGTACCACTTTTTTCCAATTTGACACCCTCATCTCTCGGAATTTGACGAGAATTGGTCTCAGGGGTAATCAGGGGCTCTGAATCCACCTGTAACAATTTCAGGCTTATCAGATAAGTATTTTTTGAGTTATGGTGTATAACATTTTTTGGATCTTGCTTTACAGCGCTAAGTTTGGCGGGTTGTAACTCTAAGACGGATTATTCGAATGCCAAATGTTATATACCATTGAACTTGCAATTAAACAGAGATTAATATACATTTTTTGAATTTCGAAAAATACGCTTTTTTAATATATGACATATCAAGTTTTCTTTCATTTGTATTTTTTGGACTTTGGGACCAATTTTTTTTTGAATTTTTATTTCTTTAAAAAAATATTTGGCTCATTGTTAAGAAGTATGCAAAAAATTAGGAAGGTGTTCTTTCTATGTATAAATGTATTTATTTTACGTCACAATAACGGTTTCGAATAGTGATTTCGGGAGGGGAGCTTACAAATGGCGTGGTAAAGCTGACTAGTGACATCACGGGTTACTGAAATTTCAATTGAAGTCTGAGCCATCTGAAAAAAGTGAAAAGAGGGTTCATCCAACCCTCTTTCCTATAAGCGCGAGGGTGAAAAAGGCTGTTTGGTTCTGACATTGTTTTGGACGCCAATGACCATAGCTGTCCGAGATGAAAGTTACAGGACGCATACATGGTGTCCTCCAGAGGTCTCACAACTTGTATATCTGGGAATTTTTTAAGGTTACATGAGGTCAGGTCGGTCACGTGACATCACTGTTATAAGTCAATGGGGAAATATAAAAAACTGTTATTTTGGCGCCGAGAATGATCTGAAACTATCTCATGTACATGGTATCGTGATTTCATGCACTCCTTGCAAAGTCCAATGCTTCACTTTTGCATTGTTAACCTTGCGTGACGTCATTTATGACGTCACTAGGGTCGTACGAGTTTTTCGTCAATAACTCCCAATCAAATGGAGCTAGAGAGTCGGGAAAGCCACCAATGGACTTGGGAAGACCTTCCGAATCGAATGATATGCCATATGATACCCTTTGCCCAGCTTCGTGACCTGAGGGGCTCTGCCTGACCTTGACCCGAGGTCAACTACTTAAGTTGACCTCACCCAAACAAAAAGCATATCATTCGCCGCGCCTGAGCTAGGCGAACACAATGATGCCAAAATCGCGGCTCTGCGGCCATTTTTTGCGAAGTTATTTACTAAAAACCGAACCCGTAACTTCAGTCACTTGACCTGACCTCAGACGCTACCGTTTAACCTGAAACATTAAAATCGGGTACCAATCGCTGCGACTTGTAACGGCACACACGCTCGTTTTTTCCGCGAGGCTCTAGCTCTATTAGAAGCGAAACGGCGTGCTGGGGTCGTATCAACCCCTCCGAAACCCATTGTATTTGCGGGAAAATGAGGAACTTATAGAAAGAACACCTTTCTAATTTTTTGCATGTCAATTTGCAATGACATGAAGTTTATTTTGAAAAAATAAGAATGTGAAAAAATTTGGTCCCAAAAGTCATTAGAGGCAAATGAAAAAAGATTAAGGTTTTTGCTCAACAATGAAAATTTTTATTTGGAAATTTTAAATAGTAATATTAATTTTTGACTCATCGCAAGCTTAGTGTTGTTTACTGTTTGTTGGTTGTTTAACCCGTTTTTGAGTTATAGGCCATCAAACTCACCGTTACAAACCGAAGTTAAAAAATGTAATGCAATATAACTCAAAAAGTTTTGATCTGAGAAGTCTGATATTTTGCCAGGCGTCTTTGGGGCCTATGATTACCCCTAGGACCGATTTTCATTAAAATCTGAGAGATGAGGGTGACGGGCCTGGTACGATCTATCGTGGAATGCCCCTTGACGTGGAATGCCCCGCCGGCCGCCGCGCCTAATGATTGGCGCGGCGGCCGGCGCCAATCATTAGGCGCCGCCTGAATTGTCGACTGTGCTGGGTCGGGACGGTTCCGTCTTTACGTCGCACTCCTTACCGCTGATTATATTCGATTCGCGTCAATTTTTTGATAAGACTAAGAAATGTACAAACAATCTTATGGTCAAGTAATTTTGAAAATCGGCCGGTAAAAACTTGATTTATGAGTGTGTAAACACAAAATTCTGATTGCCGCGTTTCCCGCGTCGGCCGATCCCGCTTCAGCCGGCGACAACTTACCCTTAGCAGGTTTCTAACCGCCATATTTATTGTTGGATTAACTAGAAATTCGCCATACATACTCACAAATATATGTTCTTTTGTATAGTGAAAGAAAAAAAAGAAAATCGGCTGGTAACTTTTTGAGTTATCGGCGTGTAAACGCAAAAAAGTCGCTCATATGGCAGATTTGACCACATTTGCCCTCATTTGACCTTGAAGATATTGACCTAGGGTCATGAAATTCACACACAACAGAGTTCCCCAGGGCCCTCACCTACCCTCCAAATTTCGTTTCTGTAGCTCCAGTGGGAGCTGAGATCTTAGGGGGGGGGCGGCATCCGCCCCATTTCCACTGGGCGTAGTACTCGCAACCCTTCCACTGCGCGTGTTAATGTTCTTTTTTAACCAGGATACACCATTTTTACCCAGATCGCATTTCACTCGATTCGTATCGATAACCCGAGAACACACTCGAGATTATCTCATCGTTCTGCCATGCATCCATCAAAATTTATTGTCGGGAAATTGCTGGTGACCTTTTATGGCCTAACACGACGTTTTGAGTGGCGGCCGATGATGAGGTGCACTATGGGTTGATGGGCTGCTAGCTGGTGTCACTGGACATGTGACCGGTGCCACGCTGACACTGTGCTGCTCTGTCTCCCTGTGTTGCAGCGGGCCAGTGACCGGTGCCACGCTGACACTCTGTTGCTCTGTCTCCCTATGTATGTTGCAGCGGGCCAGTGACCGGTGCCACGCTGACACTGTGCTGCTCTGTCCCTGTGTTGCAGCGGTTCAGTGACCGGTGCCACGTTGACAATCTGTTGCTCTGTCTCCCTATGTTGCAGCGGGCCAGTGACCGGTGCCACGCTGACACTGTGCTGCTCTGTCTCCCTATGTTGCAGCGGGCCAGTGCCGGTGCCACGCTGACACTGTGCTGCTCTGTCCCTGTGTTGCGGGCCAGTGACCGGTGCCACGCTGACACTGTGCTGCTCTGTCCCTGTGTTGCGGGCCAGTGACCGGTGCCACGCTGACACTGTGCTGCTCTGTCTCCCTGTGTTGCGGGCCAGTGACCGGTGCCACGCTGACACTGTTTTGCTCTGTCTCCCTGTGTTGCAGCGGGCCAGTGACCGGTGCCACGCTGACACTGTTTTGCTCTGTCCCTGTGTTGCGGGCCAGTGACCGGTGCCACGCTGACACTGTTTTGCTCTGTCTCCCTGTGTTGCAGCGGGCCAGTGACCGGTGCCACGCTGACACTGTTTTGCTCTGTCCCTGTGTTGCAGCGGTTCAGTGACCGGTGCCACGTTGACACTCTGTTGCTCTGTCTCCCTGTGTTGCGGGTCAGTGACCGGTGCCACGCTGACACTGTGCTGCTCTGTCCCTGTGTTGCGGGTCAGTGACCGGTGCCACGCTGACACTGTTTTGCTCTGTCCCTGTGTTGCGGGCCAGTGACCGGTGCCACGCTGATACTGTTTTGCTCTGTCTCCCTGTGTTGCAGCGGGCCAGTGACCGGTGCCACGCTGACACTGTTTTGCTCTGTCCCTGTGTTGCGGGCCAGTGACCGGTGCCACGCTGACACTGTGTTGCTCTGTCTCCCTGTGTTGCAGCGGGCCAGTGACCGGTGCCACGCTGACACTGTGCTGCTCTGTTTCCCTATGTTGCAGCGGGCCAGTGACCGGTGCCACGCTGACATGTGCTGCTCTGTCTCCCTGTGTTGCAGCGGGCCAGTGACCGGTGCCACGCTGATACTGTTTTGCTCTGTCTCCCTGTGTTGCGGGCCAGTGACCGGTGCCACGCTGACACTGTGCTGCTCTGTCTCCCTGTGTTGCGGGCCAGTGACCGGTGCCGCGCTGACACTGTGCTCTGTCCCTGTGTTGCGGGCCAGTGCCGGGTGCCACGCTGACACTGTGTTGCTCTGTCCCTGTGTTGCAGCGGGCCAGAAGGTGGTCGACATCAACCGACGGCCCAGGAGCCGTGCTCATATGGTGAGTGACAACACGGCTGGTCATTTCACCATGTCCTTAGATAGAGCTTTATCAGTGTTCGGCTACCGAGCTATGCTCATATCACGGTGTCCTGGCAGAAAGCGTCCGAAACGTTCTCTCTGACGTACAGTCTGTCTTAAAAGTACCGCGCAAAGTGACGGTGGATCCATCATGCCTGACCGAGGAAGGGCCTACTAAATTTGAGTCACCGAAGCAATTCACATCCTCGTCCATTCCCTAGGTCAATTGGTTCGGTAACTTTCAAATTATAGCAGGCCCTACCTCAGTCAGGCTTGATGGATCCACCGTCACTTTGCGCGGTACTTTTAAGACAGACTGTACAGGTCACCGCTGAAATAATGAGCGCATATACTGTAATCGGACGAAACCTAGCACCAATCATTAATGGTGAGGCCTATATCATCAAAAGCGAGTATCGTACAGATTCGTGTTTCAGTTGGACAACTTTCTCTAACGCGTCACAGTTCCACCTGCCACAGAATGCTCGCTATAATCGAACGCGGGAATATTCACTCCATTCGGGGCACCCCGGAGTCCAATCTCTGTGACCGCCACTGAACAGAGTTGTAAACCTTACGCACGTGCGTACTACGCCGTAGTAAAGTGACATTGTTGGACCCAAGGTTGGACCCTCCAGTAGAGTGTAGCCATTGATGATCGGGACACCAGCATCGACCAATAGGGGCTCTCTCTGATAGGCGAGGAACGGGAGGGTCAGAGGTGGGGAGGGGTTGACCGCGGGGCTACCGGCCGGCGCAGTGGGAGGGGTGGATGGGGGTAGGTGACAGGGGCGCCAGCCGCAGGGCAACAGCGAGATTTGACCCCAGCTGCGTGCGGGAGCGATATGTCTGATGCCATTTTGTGAAGCAGACGGCGTGTCACGTGGGAGCTTTGACCGAAATGACTGTGAAAGCTACAGTTTTGAAGATAAAAGAAATAAGTTATTTGGAGTCAGCAGATATAACTGAACACTATCTCAGATTTACCATTCACCACAACTATTTTCATTGTAAAAATCCATTGATATTTTGCATAACATAAGCCTATCAACATGCTTAATTTCGGAGCACCTGCATAGTCAAATTCTTCAAAATATTTGTGCATGGACTTCAGTAGTCCGGTCCGGCGAACCTTTTCGCTCAGTATAGGGCCTCAGCAGTACGGTCATGTGCCCTGTATCATCAGATGCACGCTGTAGCAAAATCCTACGCCAGCGGCAGGAATAAAACTGCCGTATGACGGAGGCACCGGTGTCTGACAACTGGGTGGAAACAGTCTGGAGGCCGCCAGAGGTCATGCTCGTATAGCTCAACCCTGACCCCGTGCATCGCCTCTGGCGGATACTCAACAGGGCGCTATTGGCTCATCATGGTCTGCTCAGTGAGCGCCAATTACAGTCAGCTCAGTGAGCGTGCCGCGTATGAAATCACAAGAAGCATGATACCGCTATTTATATTTCACTTAATTGGAAGAGGCCATCTAGACGCCATTGCCAGTTAATGCGGGCGGGGGATTCGGCATCCAACTAGTTTTTTTTTTTAATCAAATGGCCAGTGGATGACACAACATATTTGTTCCCCACCATTCGCTCGGATTCATGAAAATAAAGAAGGAACGTTGAAGTGTAGACATGGCCGTGAGTGGTTAAATATCAGACATGATATGCAGATATATTGTTAACACTGACTACTGAGTGACCAGTTCGAAACCAAAGTCCAAGTCCAAGTTCAAGTTCAAGTCCCGTTCCCCAGCTCCCGTCTCAATGCCCCCCGTCTTCAACATGACCTTCAGACGAGACCAGACGACCTTCTGGTACAGAAGGTTCCCACAGAGAAACTAATCGGCGGCTGCCCTAGCGTCGCAGCGCCAGCCAATCAGCAGCCGCCATCACTCTGCACACCAGCCGCCGTCGCCGCCAAGCTCGGCAGTCGGCATATAGCCTACGGCGCGTGACCTGCGGCCGCGGGCGCTTGCGGCGGCGGAGCAGGGGCGCCGCCACGGTTTTTTGACTGGGGGGGGGACGGACTGACCAACTGACTGCCACTTTTAATATAGGGTTTTGAACTGAAGTAGCAGTTTTGTAGCTTGAGCTGAGACGAGAACAAATCAGGAGCTTTTATAGCCCAACGATCGCCCTAGCCAAATATATCGGTATCGATTTTAGGTTTGAAGACTGACGTCCTTCCCATAGATTACACTTTGTCATTCTCTTACCGAGGAATCCATTCCCTTACGGAAAAATGCTAGCCAATCAGCATTCAGCTGGTTTGAGTTACGTACTATGCTTGGTCAACGCGTAATCAGCTTCCGCTGCGATATAGGTAAGTACTAAGTAGCCTCTATACGAAAGATGGAAAATAGTGATGTAAAAATAAATATAAAATCCATTTGCAAATATTCATTATTTCCTGACCATTTTAAGTTTAAGAACTCATAAAACTGTGGCAAAACAACTGTTTTGAGGAAAGTAGTTTGGGTATAGTCTCTCTTGAAAGTATCGCGACTCTGGGGGAAGGCGCCACCTGCCCCAGCCGCGGTTGAGCGGAAAAGTTTGAGAGCCGCCGTTAGCACTGACCGAAGCGTGACACGGGGGCGAGGGGAGTGGTTGCGGACTGCGGAGGGATGGGGGGAGAGGTGGCAGTAGCCGTCCGGTAACTTGTGAATTCAGTCAGCATATGGTCAACGGAAGCCACCCTACTCGCAGAGTATTCGCAGAGGACTTGTTGAGATTTGTTTCATTGCAAAGTTAACATTTGACCGGCACCACTGTCACACCATCGGCACCACTGTCACAGGTTTTTGGTAAAATCCGGAAATCCGTGCCCGAATACAAAAAAAAAAATCATCAGTCGCATCCGCTAAAAGAATGCATGCATCCGTGTTGCAGATGCACCCGCGAGCGGATTCAAATCACAAAAATTCTCTCGCAGGCAATTAGTCATATATTTGAAGTTATCTCTTTTTAATGAGCCGCTTACTGAGCGGCGCAAAAAGAATATTCACATTTTAGCCGTCTTCTTTTTAAAAGCCCTATTTGCTGCCAGGCTGCCCCTTTCCCCTCCCATGACCTGTTTACGTCATTCGGAAGGCCTCTTCACACTAGGGTTATGGCGGAACTTTGCTTCGTTGTGATTTTACGCGTCTCGCACACTGAGTGATTGGCGCCCACTGGCAGACCAATGGAACTTTAGGGCGCGCCGACTGCCGGGGTCATTTTGCCTGGCAGACCAATGAACGCCCGGGCTGGTGAACCCAAGCGGCGCCGGTATCCGCCTGGGGCGGGGGACGGGGTCAAGGAAGAGCGATACGAGCATGACCTTTGGCCGGCCTCCACCTGTTTTGACCCAGTTGTCAGCCTCTGGTGCCTGCGTCATATAGCAGTTTTCCTCCTACCGCTGGCGTAGAATCGAGGTACTGCGTACTTTTTATGATACAGGCCATGACCTCACTTTGTGCAAACCAACGTTGCAGGCACTCGGCGCCAGGAAGGTTTATTGATACACAATGAACAGAACGCAATTATCCGGTATCCGACTCTCCGTAAGTCCGGCTAACGCTAATCATTCTAACGTACATGCTAATGCTAATGCCAATCATAACGCAACGAGAGCGGGACCGAACTGCCGGCCCGCGAGCGGTCAAGGCCGCTCGCGGGACTAGCGCCCCTGGCGACCGAGTGCCGCAACTACGATTTGTGCAAACCAACGTTGCAGGCACTCGGCGCCAGGAAGGTTTATTGATACACAATGAACAGAACGCAATCGCATAGAGAGAAAACCATGTGGCGTCGAGAAATCAGACCAAGATCAGAATTACTGAAGAAGATCGTCCGTGAACGACCCTGGCACCTGACTGTGAACATAGTGGTTCAAAAACACCGATCTCGTCTTCCATCGGCCGAGCTGCTGAACTGTGTCGGCGGCGACACCAAGTCTGATCGCCTCCGTCGCCCCCGTCGGACGAAAATCTTTCGGCCGGTGTCCAGGCTGAAGGCCGAAGGACTCAGCGGCCTTAATCGATGTCTCCAAAATTTGGGCGACGGAGCTGGCAGAGATGGCCGCATACGGGCGGTGCAGCCCGATGAACAGCGGTTTCGTGACCGGGCACCGCCACCGGTCAGTGCTCGCTATGTACGAGCGCAGAGCGTCTACAGGGTCAGTGAATACATCCGCTCCGGGCGGCAGTGTAACAACAAAACCAGTTCTGTGTAAATCGTTCTTAATCCCTAAAAACGAAACTTTGACCGAGCCGTCCGAACAAAAGGTAATCTGGTCAGTAGACATCACGAAACGCGAGGACACTCCGGAATCCGCGTGAAAAGTGCGCGCCTGAGGGGCGATATCAGAGGGCCGAAGCATCAGAGCGATAGCCAGCAACGTAATTGTTTTCATCCTTAACTGTTTAACAGACAAAGCATTGTTCGCTGGCCACGCCCGGAACATGCGTGTGAACGCCGAGACATCCATCACACGAGAGCGCTGCATGGGCAGACGAGTGCGACTTTTCACGATAGCATTTGACAAACGCACAATGAATGGATCAGAGGTCAGGACAGGCAGGTTACACGCCTCGTAAACGGAAGACAAAGCCGCGGACAAACATCGTAACATGGACTGAGGACGGTCGGAAGCACGACTTTTCTGCATCAAAAAATCGGCCAGAAGGGCGGAATCCGTAGGCGGAAAAGGCACACCGCGAGACGCGCAGAAATCGGAACACTCCCGAATATAGCGATCGTATGTTGCGTGTGTCGACTCTGCCAGGCAGAGAGTCAGCTGATCGCTGGCAGCCGGTGACCAACCGCGCTCGACTAGCTGAGAGCGCCAGATATCCGCCAGGCACAGAGGGTCCAGGCGGTGTTCCGGTGCGGCTCGATCACCTGCAGCGGCAGCACCGGCATACACGTACGCTTCACCGGCGGCAGGTGGATGGGAGGTGCGACACACAGCCGCCTCAGCCTGGTCATCCACGGCTGCCCTGGCCAGAGCGGGGCGATGAGAGTCGCCTCCGCCCGCTGCGCCTCTACAAGATCCAGCACGCGCGGAATGAGCCGGAATGGCGGATTGACGAAGTTCATGTGTTGGCCCCAGTCGGATTGGCCGAGGGCATCCACGCCAGCCGATCCCGGGTCGTCGAAGCGGCTGTTGTAGACCGGTAGGAGCGCCGTCGTAAACGACGCGAACCGATCTATGGAGTGCGGTCCAAACATGCGCTCCAGTTGCCGAAACACCGCGGGGTGTAAGCACCACTCGTGCCGCAGCGGCTGCCGGGACAGGGCATCGGATTCCACGTTACAAATCCCGCTGATGTGATGAGCTGCAAGCATCACATTGTGCTGCAATGCAAACGACCAAATTGCCTGAGCTATGGCATCAAGACGTGGATCAGACGAGCCAAACTTGTTAATTAACGCTACGGCGGTAACATTGTCGGATAAAATCTCTACTTTGTTGCCTGCAAGTGACGACTGAAAGGAGAGAAGTGCAAGATATACAGCAAAAAGCTCACGGAAGTTGGACGACTCGCTGCTCACCGTGGGACACCAGAAGCCCGAGGCGGTACGACCGGCTGGTGGACTCAGCACAGCGCCCCAGCCGGACTCCGAGGCGTCCGTCAGCAGTTGTAAGTCGAACTGCGCGGGTGGCAGCAGGAGCCTCCCGTTCCAGCTGTCGAGGGACCGAACCCACCAGGTCAGATCCTCCACTGCTCCTGCCGACCACTCCAGCGAGGCCTCCCACGAGTGCCTGGAGTTGAGAAGTCGGTAAACGTTTCGAAGTTTGAGCTTGCACGGGAAGACGGCGGCAAGCATGCTAATGCAACGGCCTGCAAAGCGTGCCAGAAGCCGCGCTGAAATGCGTGAGCGTTTGAGGGCGCGTGTTATATCCTGTTTCAACTTGGATACCTTGGATTTCGGCACGGTAATGACGGGAGGTCCGTCCGGTCCAGCACAGCGGACGACAAAGCCAAGGTACGTAACAACATCTGAAGGACAAAGAACAGATTTTTCGTGATTTACGGTAAGACCAAGTTGAGACAGGGTGTCGAGAAGAATTTGAAGCTTGGGTAAAATGTCAGACTGATATCCAGTGAGAAGAAAGTCATCGACAAACGCCATGAGAGACAGTTGATGAACGCCACGCAAGTACTCAATGATGACGCGGATGCATTTATGAAAGTAGTATGGCGATCCCGACCATCCAAAGGGAAGTTTGCACCAGACGTACCAGCGTCCCTCGAACTGGAACCCCAGGTAAGTGCGAAAATCGGGGTGGATAGAAAAGTGGTAAAAACCATCACGCAGGTCGAGGGTAACCGCACGATCATGAGTGCCCATGATTTGTGGGAGGACAGAGACATCCTCTGACGAGAAGTGAGGTATGACACAATGTTCATTGACGTAACGCAGATCACAGATAAGGCGAAAGTTGCCACTCTTTTTTGGCACGACTTTCAACGGCGACACACATCGCGGCATTTCACTTACACATTCCACAACACCGTTTGACAGCAACTTGTGAAGTTCAGAACGAATGAAACTGTTTTCGTTACCTTTAAAGGGTGGATTATTGAACACCGAGGGTTCCGGCACACGAGCGAAGGGAATGGTAATGCCATGTGTCACCCAGTCTATCACCACATCAGAAGCTCCAATGCGCTCCCAAAAGGCTGGACACAGCGGCATCACTCACGTCTGTGATCACGTTACCTGTTACGTGCACGTCCGTCTTGTCACTCTGAATCACTCCGGCACGTCCCTCGCGCCGCCCGTGCGCCGCGGCAGGGCCAGGTCACGTGACCCGGCTGGGTCAGAGCGGTCACGGGCGCCAGTCCAGTCAGCTGGCAGCGTGCCAGGGCCGAACCGGCGAGACCGTCCAAAGCCGAAGCCGCCGCCACCGCCGTCCCGCCCGAAGCCGAACGGCTGGCGTGGCCCCCGGCCGCGGGGCGGCACCGCCGAACTGACATGCCGAGATGAGCGGGCACCGGCGATGGAAACTGCCCGTTGGAGATTTTCCAAGGCACTCGGTGGGAAGGCGGCTGGGTTTTGCTGCAGGGTGGTGAACAGCTTGGAAGTGCCCTCGTCAAACTGACTGCTCACGAGAAGGTTCGTGTACTCCTCTTGGAGGAAACGGAGGTGGGCAAGTGCCACCGTTGTGACGCTCGAAAGAGAAGCCTCGGTAACTTCAGCTGCCAAAAGCTTGAGGATGGTTTCTTGGAATCTCGCCGATTTCTGGATGAGGGTAAACCTCGGGAGATCAGCTCGACCGATGCCAGCACGGCTGTCTCCGACCACCAAATCAGCTGGTAGCTTGATCTTGGCGACACTCTCTTTTATAGCGCGAAACTCACTCTGTAGCTCACTGTAAGAGCTGAAGGCAGCGCCCGGCGCTGGCAACACTTGTTCTGGCACGACTTGCCGACGACCGGCGCTGTCGTTTTCGCATGCAGCTGACGCGGCGGAATGCCCAAGTGCGGGTCTGTCACTCGCTAACCGTGCCACGATCTCTTCTAAGCGATCGAACCTGGCTGACAGGTCTGCCACACTGTCGCCACGGTCACTCTTCTCATCCGCCATACGAACAGGCGGGGTTGGCAGTCGCCTAAAATACCGGCGACTACCCACAGCCACACTCCAGCACAGCGGAGCGCGCGCACCGATCGGAGAGCGGGACCGAACTGCCAGGCCGCTCGCGGGACTAGCGCCCCTGGCGACCGAGTGCCGCAACTACGATGCTGGGATCCTCAAACTGAATGGAATAGTTCGCCGAGCCGCCGCAGCCCATGACGCGATACTTTCAAGAGAGACTATACATAGGTGTCGATTTCTACCGAGTTTGGGGTGCCCGGGCGCAGCAAATCCGCCGCCGCCCTAGCGGTGACCTTGACCCGCGCGGTCTGTTGAGGCTCCAAAGCCAAGCCGGCCGAGCCGGCGGGGAATTTGGAGAGCTCGGGCACCCCCGACTTGGCGGAAATGGACACCCATGTTTAGGTATTTCCTTAAAGTAATGGCTATAGACCGCATTCCCACCGAGTACCTACCTATATACACATCTGATGTCCGATTCAGTTTCACGGCAAAGCTTCGTGTTCTATCACGGTATAATTGTTGATGTATGCCACTAAGCATATTGCATAGGTAATGCATATTGCATACCCGCGTGGGGGAGTCACAAATTGTTGTAGAGTCACAATCGCGCGTTGTATAGTCACAAATCTCTCTTTTTGGGTTGTGCACGAATCGGCGCGAAGCGCCGCGAAAATTGGCAAAAAAAAAAACATTAGGCAAAACTGCTCCAAAATACGAATTTTGCAGCCCGTGTAACAAGCTTGATACCAGAAAACCTTAGGTCAGGAAAACCAAATCAAGTAGTCAAGTCGCCTCAAAGTTTTGTGGTCCTGTCAACCGTAGGTATAGCTTATTTCTTAGAAGCTGGAACTTTAGTGTAGCGTGACTGCAGAAGTGTGGGGTCGGAGCCGGAATCAGTCGGAGTTGACTGTTTTGGCCAGTTTTGGCTAGAGTCGGAGTTGAAGTCTTCGAAAATGTTCGGATTTTGACTTCGAGGTCGGATTGGTGTAAAGTCATGCTCTTGGCTGGTTAGACGAAATATATTAGGCCCGTGTTCGGCCAGTCGTGTTATACGACACACGTTGATCACGATATCAAAAATCGGCAGTTCCGCGATGACAGGTCGGAAAAGAGCTGGAGATTTTGCTGGCCGAGGTGGCAGGGGTCAGACCAATGCATCCAGCTTCCCTTTCTGCTCTACATAAGACGTGAATGAGTGAAAAGCCACGTTTATTGTGGACCTTATTTGAATACCTCTGAATCTGAATCTGAATCTGCATGTAGGCCCACACCCCATATACTGAGTACCTATCTAAACCTCCTGGACCCTCTCAGATTCGGCACCGGCCGTTCCATCTCTTCCATCCTCAGGACAGTCAAATCCTTCTCCTCCACGCCGCAACCCCCTGCTCCGGGCTGGACGGGCAACTCTATCCCATGCGGGAATGGCTCCACTGGAGCTATAGTCCTTTGCCGGGTGCAGTGAGTGCCAGTGGGCTGGGCTGCCTGTTCAATTGGTCGGGTTCATCCCAAGTGGCTCACTGGGGTGCACAGTGGGCCAGGCGCATAAAAAAGCGGAATTAAGTCGAAAATCAACTTCGGTGAAATTCCTGTAATTATGGGATAGAGTATTGTAAAAATGTCCAAAGTTTCCGAATAAGCAAGTTTCCTTTCCCCAATGTCAAGGCAGATAATGCTATAACGTCGCAAAGTAGGACTTACCGACTGGAGATGGAAATGACTGCTGTGTACCATTTTCCGTTCCCCCGATTCAAAAGCTCTCAGCGTAAAATCATTAAAGTTATTGCGTACAAAATAGCTTTAAAAAATCAGCCGGTATTTCTGCGCATGTTTCTCGTACTCAAGTTCCCGGGAACTATTTCATGCTTACTAGAAGCGGTGGGGTTTACAGTGCCTGTTCGGAACCGTGGTAGTGCAACGACGCAATGAATTTATATAAGGATATAAAGAAAACGTCACCGAACAACACGAAGATATTTGCTGCCTGACTTTCCTCAAGGTGTATAGCTTGCTGCCCAATGCAAATATTTTGCGCATTTTTGCGCGAAATGGACAAATAAGGGTTTAACCCTCGCCGGCATAGGCCGTTTTGCATCCCTCGACGGCACAGGGGGATGCGACCCTCCTCGCGTTTGGCCCCTAATTGAGCTAGAGCCTCGCGGAAAAAACCATCGTGTAGGTCGTCACGAGACGAAGCCAACGGTACCCGGTTTTAAGGTCATAGGTCAAATGGTGACCTCTGAGGTCAGGTCAATGGCCGAAAGTCGGGACCTGCTAGAACGTCGTATAGTGTGGCTGCTAAGGGGTTTTCCGGGATGCTGATCACGAATATCATGTTAGTTTTGATCACAGATGATGTCTTCATGCATTTAGGCCAGGTCGGGTCAGCTCAGGTCAGGTCAACCAGTATGGGTCCTGCCGGGTATTCGTAGTAGGTGTCAACCCGCCTCTGACAGCTTCGTAACATGTTACGAAGGCACCAAAACTACTTTGTAAATGTTCAAATGGTTCCTAAATTCGAATTCAGCTCCAAAAACTAGCCCAGAAACATGTAAAACTCGAAAAAGTGAACCGAGGTCATCGAAGGTCAATGACCTGACCTGACCTTCAGGTGACCTTTACACCCACCCTAAAGCATGGGACCAACATCATATCACATGTTTGAACGCTTGAAACCACGAAAAGACTGCAAACGCGCGGCCAATGCGGCATAGTGCCCGCCTGTCCCAGGCATATGTGCAGCGCAGAAATTAAATAATGACGTCATAGGTCAGTGACCTAGCGTAACCAATCAAATTTGAAAATGGATATCGGATTCGGCTTTAGCATGATATTTTACCCTGTAACGAATCATTTTTGGCACCGCAGCTGTGCTCATTGATTTAATTCCGCTTTTTTGAAGCGCCTGGCCCACTGTGGGGTGGCTGCCCCGACCAATGTCTCCCACTAATTCTTTCATACTTGCGGCTCTGAAATGGTCTCATTGGACCGAAGGGCCTAATCAAATTTCGAGTAGGATAACAACCAGTAAAACGCCTTTTGGGGCGACCAACGGAGCGAGCGAGAGGGTGGGGTGGGCCTTGCACGTGCGAAATTGCGAGGGGATACCTCCAACTAACTTGTGCACTGCACTCTGCTAACCGGTCCCTAACGATGTGCCAAATTTGAGCGCAATCGGCCTAGCCGTTCTCGAGATCTGGAAGCGGCACCCTGCACGTGCGCACGTGCAAAATGGGTCCCAACTGACTTTTGCACGGCACCCTACTAACCGGTCCCTAACCATGTATCAGATTTCAGTACAATCGGTTCAGCCGTTCTCGAGATCTGGAATCGACCCCTGCATGTGCGCACGTGCAGCAGCACCCCAACTGTGGCACAAGGATATGCATTGCCTAGTGGGTATACCTACCTACATGCCAACTTTCAGCGCAATGGCGGCCCAGTAGTTGCCGAGATATTGAAATTTTTACAACACTGACACCTCTTCGTTTTTCACGTGGCACGTGCATATGGGGTCACTCACATGCATCGGGAATA